GGGGGGGGGGGGGGGGGGTACCATCTTTTTGTGTGCTGGAGTCACGAAGTCAACTGTCTCCAGCTCCCTAGAAAAGTTCAGGGATCTTCGGGGACGTTTCGAGATCTTGGGCACTGTTGTGCACAAATGGCCGCGGCGTGCTTTTCGTGCTTTTCCACGGAAATGACCAGCACCTGCCCCAAACTGCAGAAAGTGTCTCTCGGAGGATCTTGCTGGAAAAGTGCGACATGCAGTCGATCGAGTCCACATCTGATTACACGCTCGTCTCCATTGACCGGCGTTTCGAAGAGACACTTGTTGGAATTGGTCTCTGGGGCTTCGTCTGTGTTACTGTAGGTATGTGTGGTTTTGTGGCAGGAACAGCTTGACGCATCCGGCCATGGTGGAGGAAATGAAGGAGCATCATTTTGCCAAACCCTCATGCCGACTCGTTTGATCTGAAGCAGGAACCCGTCGCTCGAGCCATGCTGTACCCTGGAGATGTGCAGCCCTTGGGTTTGCAGTCTTGTTCTGTTTGTAAATCGCATCAAAGAAGCATCCCGCACCTGTCCAGCTGCCTATGTCAATTCTCGACGAAACATGACGAAACGAGGCTATCTACATCCCACCGGGTTGGTGGCATTCCGTGCGCACTTGGCAGCCGCAAGCGCCCGAAGCACTGCCCTTCTCCATGAGACTCTTGGCCGCATAGGGATAAAGGCCTCGCCGCAGGTTAGAGGCGACAGCAAGAGCGTGTTACCTAGGTGTGAATTTCTGGTATGAAATGACGCCTGCAGCTTGGCTTGCATGGCATAGCAATGATGAGGTTAACTCTGATTCCGCTCTACTGGAACAGCAGGTCAAGGCAGCTTCAACAGTCAACGAGAGGCGCAATCCCAGCCTTGAGATGGCCTGTGTCCTTTCAGGAGGCAGCGGCTGCACAGCGATCCATGCTTTTGACGCTGGAAGTGCTCTCCTGCCAGCACGCTTTGGCCGGACTTCCCGAGGACTGACAAACAATCACAACGGAAAGGGGCTGCCGTCAGCTCTGAGCTAGAGAGGCAGAGAGAAAGAGACAGCAAGAACCAAGATGATGGTGCTCTTTATGCTGTGATGTTTCTTTTCCTCCTCACTCTCCGCCTAGATGATCTTTACTTCCGTTCGTTCCACTCCAATAGGGGTGCGCAATGAGCGCAAGGGGAAATCCTCTCCTCAGGCCCGCAGAGAGAAAGAGAAAGCAAGCATGAAAGTCCCTGGCGCTCCGTATGTGCTGCTGAGAGGTTGGGGGATTGTAGGTATGGTTCGGATTTGAGTTACCTGGTCTGGTGCGGGGTTTGTGCCGAGGGGTTGCAGTTGAACTATCGCCCTATCATGCTTTTCGCCCCAGAGATCCGCAACATGCAAAGACAGAGCAAGCAAGACGGCCAAAGCAAAGGGAAGATTTAAATCAGACCTCAGAATACTTTTCCCATGAAGCGAAACAGTGGGCAAGGAACACATCAGCAAACTCCTCAAGAAGCTGGGCGTGAAGGAAGAAAGTGACGACGGCTTCGCTCCAGTGGACTAGCCTTCAACAACTTCCCGCTGTTCAATCTCAATGCAACTCCAGGTGGACTGCAGGGTCTCTAAGTTGTCCTCATCGATGGTCCGGCGTAGAAGCTCACTTGTGTACAACCGTACCGTCGCCGCTGACGATGTACCTGCGACGGTTGCGGCATGGTCGGTTTGGATCCATCTGATCCGTCCGGAGACAGCGATCGCCTTGCGAATGAGCCTTGGCCATTGTGGCCAGCACTCCCAGAAAGTTTCAGCGGAGATTTCAGCAACATGGGCTTGATGATCGAGAGGTATCAAGCGAATTTCCGGAACGAGCTGCTGCACATTTCTCTGATGAGGCATGGCGTTTGCCAGCACTCGTGGCCAGGCGTCCACTGAGCAGAGCCAGAGTGGCAGTTTCCACAAGCATAGCCTTGTTTTTGCTAGCTTTGCAGTGCAAAGCTTGCAGCAGCTGCAGTGGTACTGGGAGGGGGTTGTGCAACTCGACATTGAGTCGTTCCACGAGCTGAAAAGACTGCATGTCGTCCTTCTGCCAAAATGCCACCCGTGGACGAATGAAGCATTTCCAGAGCGACTGTTTTCTCACAACCTTGCAACCTGCCTGTCTGTACCAGTCGTGTTTTCGATTCACATGAACACGAGCTGATGCCACTTTCCTGACCGAGCTTTGCACTGGTTCCGTATGTACTGGCGAAAATTAAATATGAAGATATGATGTCTTAGATATCACAAGTACGCATGTATGTCTGTGTGTGTAAATTCAGACGTAAGTATACATGTGTGTCTACATATGTATTTATGCAGAAAGTATACAGCAACTCTTGGAGGCTCCCCACAGATGCTCGTGGTGGCTCATCGCTGTCCCTTTTCAAGTCACCTAGGAGTAGTGGCCCCAACCCCTGGTTCCTTGCCTACTGAGTGAAGGTGAAGTAAGCTCCTTCCGTTGCATAATCCTTTGTCATCTTGCAGCTCGGCGCGATGCCGGACACGCTGACGGAGGACTTTCCTCCGGCCAGTATCCGAAGCAGAGCTGTCCCGTACTGCTATCAGGAGCTGCTGAGACACAGGGCGGAAGCAAGTGACACAGAGGATCTCAAGAAACAGGCAGTCCCAGTATCTCGGCGAACAGAGGTCAGGAGTCCCATGTTGAAGTGCAAAAGACTTGCTGCTTCGGAGTGCTGTTCGTTCGGATCGAGCAAGGGTTGAGGACTATGCCACTATGCACTCCATCAAGTTCTGCTTGTGTACAGCAGCATGCATCAAGGGCATCTGAAGCTACAGTCAGCCAAGTCCTGCCATGTGGTGCTCTTTGTAACACTTGGGTCGCCGAGGTTTTGACGGGCATCGCCCTCCTCACGGTTTCTCAGCACCAGCAGTGAGACGCAAGGGAGGGGTGCCACGGCGCGCAGGTAGGAATTGCACATGCATCGACGCAGCCGAGGCGGTTCTGGCAGCTTGTTTACTGCTCTTGGCGCCCGAGCTCCTGACCATGGGAGTGTT